GGCTGCCTTCGTTGTTGTTGTAAGAGGCTTACAAAATAAAAACTCTTCTTTTATCATGTCGTCTTTCACATAGCGTACAAAAACAGCAAGCTGGCTTAGATCAGAAACGTCTGTGGTTTCGTCGAGTTGAAGGCTGAATTTTGCCGGGCTTGAAATCAGATCCGCGACTACTTGAGCCAAGATGTCTTTACTCATGTCTTCTATTCTGTCACTGACGGTGTCATTTGAAAGGGGAATTTGGGATAATTTACCTTCGGCCGCTGTTCCGAGTATCATATTCGCCATCTTTAATGCAGCTGGTTTCACAAGTGTTTCACCAATGGTGTGTGGCTTGCCCTGCTTTGCGATCAGGTAAGCAACTTCGTACGATGCTGTCAGGATCGGTTTGTTAACAGGTACAAATCCAAGAGCAGGCAGAGTGGCCCTTTCATCGAATCTGGCTCTCTTCACCCTGAATTCAGCAAGTGTTGTGTTCTTGTATTCCCCGTCTCCATGCAGCTTCAAGAAGTGTTCCTTTAGTTTTGCCGGTGCAAGACTAGAGTTGCTCAACTTGGCTTTGCAAATCATGCAGATAGGACGCTCACTCCCATCACGTTCCGTGATACATGAGAATCCATGTTGTACATATTCGTCCGACCACTTTCTTCTTTTGCCCGACATAGTTAGTATGGATAAAATATTAAAGAAATCACACGACGTACGACAACAACAGTCACACGTTGACTACTGAGTACGCACTAAATTCCCCGCAGCGCTGATTGGCCAAGCAGTGTAGCATGATCATCTGCAGCCAGTGATGGCCAAGCGGGCCGTGTGTGTCATCACAAATTTACACAATAATTCAAGTGTGTCCGGACCTCCGTGGCGGGGGCTCTGCCGAACCCCTGAGATCGACTCACCGAACCCCTGGGGTTCGATCGAACCCAGGTTAAGAACCACTGCTCTGGACCATAGAGCCCAATGCATATCCGACCAGGAACACATAGCCAGTGAACTCAAGCACGTACACCAAAGCTCTTAAGGCTAATGGTTATTCCGACTACACAATCCGCAAAGCTATCACTCCAACCATGAAGAAGGACACTCTTGAGGAGCCTTGCAAAACCATCACTTTACCATACATTGCGGGGATCACAAAAAATATCTCCAAAATCTTGAATAAACACAAGATCCAGGTCCGATTCAACACATTACATAAAATCCGTGATCTGGTTCCATCTGTAAAAGATGTGATTCTGGACATACAGTACCCTGGTGTCTACAGACTAAGTTGCCTCTTTGGTAGTAGTTACATTGGAGAAACCAAACGACATGTCTCAGACCGCATTCGTGAACACAAAACAGACCTGAAACACGTTAGGACCAACACCTCGGCCATGGCAGATCACTGTTATAATTCAGTAGGTTCACATGACATTGACTTCTCCAAGACAGAGGTTATTTGCAAGCCATCTGGCTACCATGAGAGATTCGTTCATGAGGCTATCCACATATACAAACACAGAGACAATTTCAACCGAGAAGATGGATTCTGGCTTAGCAATCATTGGAAGGATTTGATAAACCATTTCGGGTCTTGATTGATCACGCTTAAGGTGGCTTTCAGACCGCATCCATTATTTTTCGTCTCCCCCCTCCTCTTTTCCGAACATAGATCGACTCGTCCATCTGAACAAACTGTGAAATCGCTATCCTTGGTGCTAATGTTAAAAAACGCCACTTTTGTTAAAATTTTCTTGTTGTGGTTTTCACACCTGATGATGATTGCTTGTGTTGCAGTCGAAACGTCGTGAGAATTGTATTGTTTTATATTTGTATTATTCTATTGTTTCACTTCTTCGTGACTTTACCGACAGAACCAAGAATATGAATCCCCGCAGTCACGAAAGCTTTAAATAAAAAAAATTACGAGCCATATCTTTTATTAAACCGAGCGATCCAGTATCACTTACGGCACGGACTATAAAGAAAACGCCGATGAATGGAGCTGGGCCAGAAATCCCAATGCAAAGAGCCTCCTGTAAAATAACCTTGAGACTTCGTGAGGATTTTCTGTGTTAACAAATCCTATGTTTTTGTATTTTGCGGTTATTGTCCGTGTACAGATTGCTGCGGAGTTGTGAGCAGCAGAGGACAGTGCAGAAAAAAAACATTATTGGACTGTACCGTACTTCTATGTTCACAGTCTTCAACTCGCGCTGACCAGAGTGCTGAAGTATGGACAAATAACATCCACCACCAGCACGGCGTGGGGAGGCCCTCGCCCAGCAGTGGATTGATGAAAAAGGGTTTTTACACGTACATGTAGAAACAAAGACTATTATGGTGAACAACTGATATGATCATGTTGCAAACGTTCACTGGGCGAAGTTACCCACGCGTAAAGGGGCTGCTCGTTATTTTAATGCTGATATGCATGTATAACTTCTTTCGCACCGTACGTAGCCAACCGTGCGAATTGGAGGTGCGCGGGGGAAGGACAACAAACTGAACACAAAAAGCAGTTTTCGAGAAATTCGTTTTCAATCTAGACGATGATTTAAAAGTACCATGGCTCCAGTGGCTTCCTAACATCGGAAGGAAAGAGCAAACTTATCGCAGAGTCTTGAATGGTTTTTTTTTACAGCCGAGAGCCCGCGTTGGTGAAGTCGAATGTTCCGAGTGGCTGTGATGGTATTTGCTCACGCACGCGCGTGTTGAATCCGTTCAAAGCACGGCTTGATAATGTATGTATGTGTGCTGTGAAAAAAAGAGATCAAGCCAAAAGAAAAAAAATCGCCAATTTTTAGTTTTTATTGTTTTGCGAGGCCGCAAGTGTCATTGACAAATGTGTTCAGTTTTTTGTTTTGTGTTAATTGTTCTTGTGCATCACTGCCAATGCAGCAGCAGCAGCATCATCAGCTTGAACAAACAACGAGTCCACTATAACCTAATTGCTATAGCAACGTTGATGCGACCGTTTGTACAGAAGAGCGTAACGGAGGAAGCTAAGACATTGGTGGAAATTGTACATTGCTATGGCGGGTGTATTTATTACGCGTGGGATGATAGCCGACTGTTAACGATTCATAAAGTGGTACTCGATTTATGACCCCGGAAGGCTGCTGCTGATGATGATGATGGAAGTCGATCGCCGACTGAGATTTTTGAACTCGCGACCTTCCGACGTTTTGTCGCCGAGCGCTGTCGCCACGCATCCTATTTGTGGACGTGTTTGTAAAAGCCACGTGCGGAGGAGAGGCTGCAGCTGTTTCCAACCCCCCCCCCTTCGTCCGCACGTGCTTCCCAAAAATCAAATCGGGAAGTGAAGGAAGTGCAAGGAGACAGCGGCTCCGCCACAGCACGTGGAACGAAACGTCTGACATCGCGGCGAGCAACACAGAAGCGCCACAACGCCACCCGCCGCCCCAGCTCCAAACAACCCCCCCCCCCCCCCACACACACAGAATCAGAGAGCTGCGCGTTGGCAGCACAACCGCGACAAACCTACGCAGTTGGTATCACCGTGAGAATCATAGTTTAAACGGGCCGCCTACGCTCATGAGCGCTCTTGAGCGTAGGCGGCCCGTGGAAATTCCCCGTTCGTATGGCGGGGTCAGGTTTTTTTACACGTCGGGCGTGTGTTATCAATCCACTGCTGGTGAAGATGGACGGGGGAAGTATTCACGTAGAGGTATGAGCATAGAAGTACAACGAGAAATCTGAAAAGAGCGCAAGGAAGCGTGGGGAGAGAGAGAGGGGGGGGGGGAGGGGGGCACGCTTGGAATTGCGCTGAGAGGCAGGGAGACGAACGCGTGATTTGGAGTCCACGCGCAGGTTTGAGACATCGCATTGAGTGTTGACAAAAGTGGATTTCGCTAGGAAACCGTCGCTTGAAGGGACGACGGTCAAGAGCAGTGACGGAGCAGCAGTCCAGCAATAATGAAAACGCGTGGGGGAGATGGAGCAATTGAACCAACTCGTGTGTAGGAGGGTGCTGGGTGGTTGGGTGGATGTATTGTTACAGCGTACAACCGTGGGAGATTGCAACGGATTGTGGGAGGCTTTCACTCAGCAGTGGATAGATCATGACCGACGATAACGATTATATACAGACAACAACAAAGATCCCCCCGTGTTGCTCTAACAAACGGGATATTGGGACCTGTGCTGTTGGCGAATACCTAGGAAAGCTGACATGGCAGATCGAGGGGCGGCGGGGGGGGGGGGGGTTGTGGCCAGAACCACGCCCGGCCGCTTTTGTCTCCCAAGCGCTGATATTTATACACCGCACCAGGCACCAATTTGAGGCTGCATCGACGTATAGGAGGGCGCAGGGCAGGGTTCGAAGCGCAGTGCGATAACCACGACACTACCGCTCCTCATTCGACGACGATTATAATCAAGCAAATAAAGACAAAGATTCCCCTGTAGCCTGAACATGTTCTAAGGAGCAAGTGCCGTTAGCGAGCACCTATGAAGGCCGGCACGGCACACGATATGCACCCTCTATCTCTCACACACACATATACATCAGACGTTAGTTAATACGTCGTTGCTGTCCTGTATATTGGTATATAGGTGCCGAGGTGAGTGGTGGTTAGCGGTGGCAGGTGGTGGTTCAACCTCCACCTCCTCCACCTGTGCCACCCCTGCTCGCTTTTCCCCACGCGCTATGCAGAAGCCATTTCCCCAGCTTCATGTGGCTTTTCTCAGGATTCCTTTCCTCGGAACTGGTCGCGCAGCTGCACCCCGAGGGGCACCTGCGCCAAAACGCGTCCAGCGCACGATCAGCCCCGTGCCTGGCAAAGCACACGAGGCGCAAAGGGTGGGGGAGGGGGTGGCGAAGTGGTGGTGGTGGGCGGGGGAGGGAGAATACGTTTTGTTGTTAATCTAACGTGAACTTATGAGGCAAAAAGACGGAAACTTTGACGTCATCGGTGGAAAAAGGCTGTGGTTGCGACGCGTTCAAAACGCGTGTTGCGGGGCGTTAATAAATAGGCGGCTCTAGGAGGGCAACGGGAGAGGTATTGGTGAGCTTGCAGCGAGATAGGGCGCGTAGGCGACTGATTGGGTAGGGGGGGTTACCGCTGAGTCAAATGTTCTTCTGCGACTGCCCGTCAGCTCGCACGCAGTCGATTGCGTGAAACGTGGGAGAGGTTTAATTTTATCGTTTGAGGTTCATTCATTTTTTCTTCAACCTTGTCGGCGGTGAGACGGACGAGGAAGGCAGCGTGCTGCGAGCTGCGAGGACGGCGGCTTTGGCGGATGATTTCGAAAAATTACACCCGCAAAAAGTAGTGTTGCTGATAGACCAAGAGCGCATCACAACTATTCACGGCAGTTACATACAAATAGCCAACGGTCTTTGAGAGGGCATTGGCAGCCGACCGACGCTTAGAGATATAGGCCTGCGCATACATAGACGCGTATCAGGAGGACACGTTCACAGCTACCGCAGAAGGACTCCGAGACTGTCAGCACAGGGAAAGCGGTTCAAGAGATCGTCATCAACATGAGGCCGCAAGTCCCACACTTGAGCTCGTACGGACAGAACGGCCACGTGGGGACCCACGGCCACAGCCACACGGGGACCCACGGCCACCCGGGGACCCACGGACACTGCCACACGGGGACCCACGGTCACACTGGGACCCACGGCCACACGGGGACCCACGGACACTGCCACACGGGGACCCACGGCCACACGACCACGAGCTACAGCAACAGCGGCACTGCCCACGTCGGGAAATGTGGCAGCGGCGGGATGCAGGTGGTGAAGACCAGAGGCGAACCCGTCTACGTGAACTCGCTGCCCTTGCCGCCGGAGAAGGACGAGACGCGATGGAGCTGGGTCACGAGGTGGTGGAGAGGCTGCACCCTCTTCCAGTGTCTCACCTTGTTGCTCCTGGTCACGCTGGTGGTTCTGGCGTTCATTACTCTCGTCCCACTCGCCTTCAAGTTGTACAAGGGAAAGGTGAGCGGGCACGGTGACGGACGACAGTTGAGATGAAAGGTGCCGAGAAGGCTGCGTGTCGAGGCGAGTGAGTGTGGAGGGTGGGTGTTGAGATGAAGGATAGCGAAGGCGGTGGCAGTTTTGAGATGACCGATTGGTGAGATCAAAGCCTTTACAAGTGCCGCTTATACTTCTAGCGTTGCGATGTGGAAGTGAATGTGCATATTAATTAAATGCGTCCTTCGTGACCTACTTGCTTTACACTATGGTTGACGCGTCTTTTGCCGAAATTGATGAGCTTCTTGTTAGATTTCAGAATATGTATTGACACTTGAGGCATCCGATGAGCTATAAAGCTCTTTTTCACAGGTGTCCAGTATATATAAACACGGAATGGACAAGTACATAAGTAGGAGAGTGGTAATGTACTGACACGTTTTATTTCTGTGCTTTGACAGTTTAGTTGCTATATATGTTGTAGTTGAACCCCCGTGTGGGATTGTCGACTCTGCATGGTCAGCTCTCAGGAAGCCGATTAAATGTCCATTAACAGTGTTTGGGAAGCCAACAGTGGTTGACTGATCCCTGACATTCAGAACGTGGAATTTGCACCAGTAGATGAAGGTTTCCAATGAAGATGCCCACCAACCAACACTCGTCTGATCAGGGAGGCACCTTGACTTTAAAAACGTATTTAATAATATATTTTTTTTTGTGCTAGATCGCGTAAATTTCAATGTACCGTTAGATCCGCCACCACCCGACATAGAGAATTAGAAAGGGTTGTCACGTAAACAAAACATGCCAATTTGTTTACGCTCCAACACATCAGTGTGCTGTACGAGTAACGAAGTGGCATGTTTTGTTCACGTGACAAATCTTACTAATTGGCTGTGTCGGGTGGTGGCGGGTTTAAATGACACATTTATATATTTACGCGATCTGACCCAAAGACCCCCTTTTACGGATAATATTGGTGGCAAAGCCTATTACGTGCTCAAAAGTATCTCATTCATGTCGGAAAGTCTCAACGAGTCTCTAGATATTTTTTTCACGCGGGTCCGGCATTGGGATGTTTGGGCAATTTTTTTTAAAATTCGAATATTGCTTTATGTGGGCGGAAACCAGAATATGAAGAGTAAAAAAAAGAAAAAAACCCACACGTATGAGGGCATTAAAATCTACAATGATGGGGTTTTTTTTTAAATAACTTGCTGCACTGTCACCTGCTGGCCACCTTGCAGGCTTGCACGTGGGGATGTTCTAACAGCGAAAGATTTTAACGCTTTATTGGTAATGTTGAAGCTTGAAGGCGACATTTGCGGTGATCTTATAAACACACACACAGGGAAATAGCAACATTTTAAAACATATCCAAAGTGAAGTCCAAGTGGCTTTCTGTTTAAACCAGGGGTCGGCAACCAAAATAACAATGAGACAATTTTTTGCGAATTCGGTAAAAAAAAAAATCTATATTTCAAGAAAGCGCAATGCACAGTGGTGAATACGAGACGGTGGTCCTTACTAAACAACTGTCACGAAGCAGTCCGTAAAAAAAGACTGCATGCTTTTTTCGAGCCGCAGACTTAAATGAACACCGCGTGGCACCGCTCATCTCTCAGTGTTCCAGAAGCGGCGGTATAAAAAAATTCCACATTCCCATGGACAGCACTGTTTTATTTTCCGTAAAATAATGCTCAATATTTTATCGACCTCCAAGAGATGAGCTGAGTCGACCGCTGAGTGGGATTATAACTCGTAACCTTCCGATTCTGATTGCCAAATGTGCTATGAAGTTCGTTTAAAATAGTTCCATGATTGTATGGTAAGCTGGCTTTTCCTTGCTGTTACTTCGTTTTATAAGTGACACTGAGAGCGGTGCAAATTGTTGTTGAGTGGAGTAGCAAAGGTGGGGCATTGGGAGGGACTGAACAGATAAATCACACCCCCAGTGGGGTCTAATCCTGTGACGGTGCAGGTGTGAGGTTTACTCTGCAGCTCACCAGGGGATGGTGGGAGCAATCAGAAGCGTATGGCCAGTTTCAAATCCAGTAATTAAGATTGCTTTGCAATGTAGCTCTGTTAGTAGGTTATCGTTCTTTTTGTTGCAAGGTCATCATTACCCAGGTGGCATGAAATCTGAATCCCGCTTGTCTGAATCAGCCAATGTAAAATGTTGTCTTTGGGACATTCACAGCCACTTCGAGTGGAGTGAACAACGCATTTGTGTGAGGTACATGGGTTCTCGGCACCATAGCAATCCATACTAACATCCCGTATTACGATCATCTTTGGAACCCCACAATCGCCTGTGGGTCTCATGTGTAGATTTACGCGCTGCGCTACGAACCCAGCGATTCCCGCCCACGGCCAACCAACACCAGTGACGATTATCTGAAGAGGTCCTGGGCCTCCCCCAGGTCGACTCAGCCTCAAATGAGTACCCGTTGCGGTGTGTAAACGTCGCCGCTGGGAAGAGACAAAGGCGGCCGGGCGTGGTGCTGGACACCCTCCCCCTCGTGTGCCGCCGTAATTCATAGGTGCTGCTCGCTAACAGCACTTGCCCCAACAGTCTGTGAAGGCTACACGGGGGATGTTGGCCGTTTTGTGTGTATATATAAATGAACCTTATGGCGGGACCCTGGGGTCCCGAATAATCGGAAGTCAAAATCGCAATCTATTTATTTATTTATTTTGTCGACTCCGTCCCACCGCGCACATGAACGCCGCGACCCACCTGGCGCAGATCGTTCTGTTGTCGTGGCCACGCGCAGCGGCGAGGACGAATAGCGCAGAAGAAACAAAACTTTGAAACTTTGGTGAGCGCATCGCGTCGAGCTCGTCGAGATGAACAGATCGCCGTGTCGTTCGCCTTCTTCAAGAGACATAAAACGGCGTCGCAACGCAGTTTATGCGAGAGCCGGCGGCTTAGGGAACCCCGGGGTCCCGCCATAAGGTTCACAAATATATATAGTGGAACCTGGATTTAAATAAACGCACCATACACCAGCACATTTGCCATACAGGCAACACAACCGTCACGTTACACCGGTGGAGGGAGGGTTGGCAGGTGGGGGGTGTAAAGAACACAACCTCTGACACGGGTCACACCACAACCGCAGGTGATTGGGATTGAGCGCAGTGCTGTTCCTGCTACCGAGGAGTTTGTTGATCGCCCTTTAAGCATTTGAAAAAAAAAAAAGTTCGGCCCTTATTAATTTGTACAGTGCAGGGTGGTCCAGATGTCTCGTGACCCCCCCCCCCCCCCCCCCATTTAATTATCTAAAAACGTAGCATTAAATAAAGTAAGGTTCATTTCAAACATAAATTAATATGCAAAGGAACAAGCAATGTTAGGGTAAATTAATTGGGGGGGGGGGGGGGTGGGCGGCGGGGGTCACGAGACATCTGGACCACCCTGTAGTGTCCTGTGCACGCTCCTCGGCCATTGTGCGGTGACACGGCCGCTGCCCCCCACTTAGGGGGGCCCCCTAAGCAACACAAAAGGCGCAGCCCAAGCTGGGGTTGACAACTCTTCACTGAAGCTACTGAGGAGATTTTTTTTATTTTACTTTTATTCAAAATGACGTCATGTCATTAATTGTTATGGTACAGGCACTTCGGGTTTACATGACATATGACGTCATTACGTTAGGCTGGCCGAGGTTTTGACAGCGAATTCACCTCTGTATGGCTCGTGTGCATTCATTATGTTAATGAATGTTCTTAAAATATCCTCGATTAAAATCTCCCCCCATTTACTTTCAACAGTCACTGGGAGGTCGGGATGTTAACTACCTCGCCCGGTATGCAGGAGGTCGTCGGTTCGATCCCGACCCTGACACCTGCTGTATATTTGGAGTTTGAAATGTTCTCTCTACCCGTAGCCACATGGATATTTTCTCGGGGTACTCTGGTTTTCCGATAAAATAACTCTAGAGCTCAATGGGCTTTACCCGGTAAAATAAAAAATAGTTTAGTTCAAGTATATATAATTTTAGTGATTTGATTACCGTTTCTATCCTTTGCACTCCTATCGGCTTTTTTTTGTATTATTTATTGTAACTCTCTGACCCACGCCTGCTGGACATATGTGAAACATGAGCTTCACAGCTCATCGGATTTCTCCAGGAGGAATAAATAATGGAATTTTTATTTTATTTTTAAGCTCTGGTAGAGACTTCCCGGCCAATCCGGGATGGCTGTCAACCTTAGTCCATGCACAATATGGATGGCAAAGACTCGCACTTGTATTGTGCTGACGATCCCCAATGAGCGTGAAACCACTGCACGGTTGCGATTCCCCCCTTTTGCTGGTTTTAGTACGAGGATGAGAAACGTAGGAACTTGCTCTACGTTGGATCAACTTTGGCCGGTGGTGACAACCGTTGGACCCCACGTTGACCAAACGTCTCCGTGCGTACTGCGGTATAACGCGTTGTGTTGCATAGGCCGATGGATTCACACGAGGTCTGTGATTAATGTTTTTTTTCTCTTGTCGTTTCGCAGTTGATCGGGGACTTGGACATTGAAAATGGGGCCATGCAAAAGCCCGAGGCGGTAAGAATTATCTCCACTTGTCGTAGAAAACATCGCAGGTCACGTCGGAGACGTTATAAAGTGCCTCTTTCTCGAATAACCCACAAGACAGACTCGTCCGTCTTCTAACGGCAACGTCTCAGCGGGCCACACAATTCGTTTCTGTGCTATATGCTGCATTGCCAAGCAACAGGTATCCCCAATCTTTGCATATGATCAGAAGAATAGTTACATTTGAATGGCCAAATGCGATAAGTCGTTCATGGGGATCAGAAAAACGTGTGTTATTGCTGGGCTCGACACACCATTGTCCACGATAGCCTTGTTGTATCAGAGTTGAGTCTCTCTCACAAAATTATTGTAATGCTGTGCAATGGTTCGCACTCAATCCAGAGGTCACCGATTCGACTTTCTGGAGCAGCAGTTGACACAATAGGGATTTTTTTTAAAATCCTCCCAACTCTACCTTTCTCTCTACTCAGCAGCATCAATAGGCACGCCACGGTTAGTTAATCGGCCGGTCTTGGGCGATGGAGTTGAACGCAAAAAAGCAGTTTCTCAAGACGTCTGGGCAGCATGAAAGAGTGCGCAAAATGACCCCTCCAGAAGGAGCTCTCCTAGTGGAGACCCATCCGCCAGCAGCGGCGTGAGCGAGCACTTGCGGGGCTGCACCTTTATCGTTGATGTCACAGCGGCTGAATAACGACAGCAGATGAGTTGAATGTATTGTTTAAAATTGGTGACCGCATCGGAGTTACTGAACCAATGGTGAACCTTTAATGTACAACGAGGAACAGCTGGCAGCCCACGAAGAGAATTGTAGAGGCAGTAAAGAGGTCGCTTGTCCACAACTGAGGCCATGCAGTGGGTAAATGTGCACCCTGGTGGTGATGGGAGTGAAATGAAGGAAGGCAAAAGACAAACATGACTTGGGCGTCGAGGCAGTAGGTCTGATGCCGATAGGAAGAAGGTGCGCCTTTTGGCGTCATCTGGTCCAACACCATGTGAGACCACGTGGCGTCATCTGGTCCAACACCATGTGACACCATGTGGCGTCATCTGGTCCAACACCATGTGGAACCATGTGACGTCATCTGGTCCAGCACCATGTGAGACCATGTGGCGTCATCTGGTCCAACACCATGTGGGACCATGTGACGTCATCTGGTCCAACACCATGTGAGACCATGTGGCGTCATCTGGTCCAACACCATGTGAGACCACGTGGCGTCATCTGGTCCAGCACCATGTGAGACCACGTGGCGTCATCTGGTCCAGCACCATGTGGGACCATGTGACGTCATCTGGTCCAACACCATGTGGGACCACGTGGCGTCATCTGGTCCAACACCATGTGAGACCACGTGGCGTCATCTGGTCCAACACCATGTGAGACCACGTGGCGTCATCTGGTCCAGCACCATGTGAGACCACGTGGCGTCATCTAGTCCAGCACCATGTGAGACCATGTGGCGTCATCTGGTCCAACACCATGTGAGACTAGGCTCTAAGGAAAGCTGTCTAGGGTGTGGACCAATCAATTTCAAGGACAGTGCCAATACATGATCAGAGTTATGTTTTTTGTTCGCATTCCGACCCCAGGTATTGTGGTCAATGCAAACATGACTCCTTGTAACAAAAAATGTGTCAGTTTTGTTGCCAGATAAAAGGGTAAAAAAACAATTATCAGGAACAAAGATGTAGGGATCTGGTGGCCACTTTGATCGTCCTCGAGGTGACAGGCATAGAATCGGCTCACGCGAAGACAGCAGCTGAAATGTCTTGGGGCCAATCATGTGACCAGGAACACACCATATAACCCCACTCATCCGGCTACACGCAACGTTTGTGTATATTAAAGTGCATATTATAGTGTATATGCCCTATTGGACATGGACATTTTAATTCACGGTGATTAAGTGACCATACTCTAGTCGATCAAGTCAAATTAAGTTAATATGAAATTTTTCATATATATATTTTTATGTTACTGAAACTAAAAGTAAACACCACTCTTCTTTCGAAATGTAAAAAGAAAATATGGGAAAATACCTCTTCCCTAAAAATCCAGCAACAGATAACAATAGTCTCAGTAATATTTTTATTAGTTCAAACTGCCGCATACAAATCTCGACAGTCAAATCACACGCAATAGCAAGGCACATACAATGAATCAACAACAATGTAACGGTAACATCCTCCATGAAAAGGCGCATCTGGGGCTTCCCTGGTTAAAATAAAGAATGAGGTTTTATCATTATAAACGGCGAACAAGAAAGCCCTGGGTATTCATCTGCCGTGATTTCAATCCCGTGACGTATTTTTCGTCGTGCTTGAAGACAACCCCGCTCAATTTAGGAACTCTAAACCATGCACACGTTCCTAATGCATATACCACACCGCAAGTCTGTAACGATAACGTTTACAATTCACGTTTACGTAGACACACTGCGCGATGAACGTTTTGTTGACAGGAAATAACGCTTCTAGACATTGAGCTATTGCGGAATTTTGGAACTGAAAGTTGGGTCTTGTCTCAATTGTGCGGTGAAATAATTTTTCTGGTCTTAAATGTGAAACGTGTGGCTGGTGATCGTGAATGAAATGGTAAAAATTATTATATTCATATGTGTATGATATTTAGGTTGATAATATTCATTAATATCTGGCGTTTGCTTTTCTTTTGGTTTTGCAGCAGAAGCATGAACTACTTGCACGGAAATTCGGTAAGCGCCGCTTGAATTTGTAAGATAACTACGCAAAATGAGGCACAAAGACACAGATCCCCCGTATAGCCGTAACAGACTGTAGGAGTAAAGTGTTGTTAGCGAGCACCTGTAAAGGCCGGCACAGCATGCGATGGGGTGGGCGGCCAACATTACGCCCGGCCGCCTTTGTCTCCCTAGTGGCAATGTTTAGACACTACACCAAGTACTCATTTGAGGCTGAGTCAACCTAGGGGAGGCCTAGGACCGGTTCAGATAATCGTCACTGGTGCTGGACGTGAGCGGAAATCGAACTTGGGTCGTTGGTTTTGTAGCGCAGCGTAGCGCTAACCGCTGCACCACCGCTCCCAACAAATGAGGCAGACCCACCAGACTTACACCTCCATCTAGATATATGAATACGTTGCCACTGGCTTCAGTTAAATTATCATCGCTTTCAGCAGCTCAATGTGTTCTCTCTCGACATTTGCTTGTCACTAATGATGCTTATGTTTGTTTTTTCAGATGCGATGATGAACAAAATAGAGGCTATTTCAATTCAATCGCCATTTCCAAGGGGTCATCTGGCAGTTACGGAGGTGGCTAACACTCCAGGTGAGTGTAATGATGCGTGACGCCAACTGTCAGTTTCAAAACGCAACTTGTGTTAGGAAACAGCCGTGAAGCGTCCATGCGATGTGTACTATGCAATAAAAGGCATGGACTCATTCAGGGTTATGAAACAATGCAAAAAAAAGGGCGTGACTATACTCTTTGGTTCTATTCGGTAAAGTCACGTAGGTAAAAAAATAAAACAACAAAAATCACGACGTTTCGGCCACAAACACAAGTGGCCTTCATGCAGGTGAAGGGGACCGTACTGTCACGAGGACAGCGTTGAAATGAAGAAAGACGTGCCCAGGTCGCGTCCTTTAAGCTGTGTGGGAGGAAGTAAAACGCTTTGACAAAGGAATTAGCATAAAATGCTCATAGAGTAACAACACGGGGGGGAGGGAGAGGGCATTTTTACAAAAGTGCGACTGCCAATGATGAATTTAGATTTCTTATCTTTATTGTAAATTATTGTATTTGGCCATACCTTGCCATGCTGATCACAGTGCATATTGGTCAATGCAGACAGCATTGGCGTGGGGACATTCACTAGAGCATTGCAGTGCGTATTTTGCTGCACTGCCATCTGACGCCCACCAGCCACGCAGCTGCCCAGGACTGTGCCTGCCATTCATCGTGGTCGCCCATCCAAGCACTGACCAAGCCTCTCTGCTTAGCCTGCGGGATTTCGTCCAAGTTTGAGCACATTCATGGGTGATTTGGTGAGAGGCTGATTAAACCCATGACCCACACGGCGTGAGGAGACCCTCAACCAGCAGTGGATTGACATGTAAATGTGTGCATGCATACTAACGCTGCATTTTGTGTTTACTAGGCACAAATACAACCAAGTGGAACTGCACTTTTACAATACACGGAGAATCCTTCCTCCTGGGAGGCATGAGGTGTGAAGATGACATGCGTAAAGTCACCGTTCCCCTTGATGGAATATACAACGTGCACGCTCGCGTCACGCTCACGTGCAAGACAAACATCGAACAAAGTGCTACCTTAGTGGTTCAGTGTGACAGTTACCGATTACCACGAGACCTCTCCACTGTTATATCACCCACATGTGGTGTTCACCAGCGTACCACAGTGGCCTTGATCTTTGGGCTTTTTGAACTTAAAGCAAATTGTAAATTATCTATAACTTTGTCACACATAGAATCGCTGAGAATCGGAGATAAATATACGTCCATGGATGTGTACATGGTGTCGAATGAAATCAGGGCACCCAAAAACTAAACGTACTTTTACAACTTTAAAAATAAACATTCTTCAAGCGTTACCGAGTGCACTGTCATCTGTGTTGCTATTGCCGAGCACAAAGAGACCCAACTGAATGTTGTTACGCAAAAGTAGCATAGGACAACGGCAAGCACAATGTGCAACCCAGCCCTGGTGATGCAACGGACCGGTGACAAAGGGATAAACCGCAGCTTCTCCATGCCTAACAACAACAACACCAAATATCACAGTGCACCACTGCAAGCAATGCTGGCGGGGCTACTCAGGGTGGCTGGCTCTCAACATGCTCTCCGACAATGACATTGGACAAAAAAATTACAGACTGATCTGCAACTGGGTTTTTTTTCGAAACGTTTCGCAATGCCAGACGAGCAGAGCTCTGCCCGGTGTGTGCGACTTAGGGGAAATGAGCTGTGGGCCACGTTTTATCCGGCAGCATGAAACTGACATCCCAGAAGGTTATTTTCAGATGTTCACCAAATATATTCGGCCGAATAAGATGGGCACGGACCGGTCCTTGAACGCGACCGCTGCGCTGTTGGCTTTCGCCCTTGGACTTGTCCGATGAGACGTGCTGTTCATATATTTTCTAAACCCTGTTTAATTGCCAACTCTCGCGAGCGGTCATCGCAAGGCTGATTATTGTGTAAATAATTTAACTTTAACCACTCTACATATTACCTCCAGTTCATTGTACGGTCTCCTTTGTGGTTATTACATACCGTATATGTAACACAAGTACCAACCAGCCTCTAGCCTTGTGTCACGTCTAACAATGTGTAACATTGCTTGGGGTGGTGGCGTGGTTGATAGCGCTACCCCTCTCCAGGGGCTTTTGACCCAGAAAATTGAGTTCGATTTTCGGAGTTCAGATGCGAGCGATATCTGAGCTGGTGCTGGGCTTCCCCTCCAAAGACAAAGATTCCCCCTACAGCCTTAACAGACTGTTGGGGAAAGTATTGTTAGCGAGCATCTATGAAGGCCGGAACAGTACGCTCAGGGGTGGGTGACCAGCACCACGCCTAACCGCCTTTGTCTCCCCCAGTGGCGATGTTTACACACCGCTACACCAGGTACCCATTGGAGGCTGAGTCGACCTATGGGAGGCCCAGGATCCGTTTCATATAAACGTTACCGGTGTTGGCTGTAAGCGGGAATTGAACTCGGGCAGCGCGCTAACCACCTCACCACCGCTCCCCATCCACCCCATCAGCAACAAGCATTGGCTAGCATGGTGAATCATGGTCAACAAAGGGCTGTACATTATACATTTCAATTCTTAACATTGCTCATTTTACATATATTTTTTTTCTACTTAACATTCGGTAATTTTAACGGCTATAATTTTTGCTCAGGCTCAATAATAGAAAATATAACAGATGACAAAAATAATGTAACCGTTCCTCGTGTATCAATCTCATCCTCTCATAAATAATAACGTGTTTACTTGTCCAGTCATTGTCACGCCAGTTATTCTCCAATTGTCGTTTAAATGTACATTTGTTGTAAAGCAATGGTTATGGTCATGGTTACTTGTCGATGCTTTGATCTGTCCTCTCTGTACGGGTGGCTAACGTAGATGTTGCCAACCACTGCTGTACTGTGGTGTCCACAGGCATTGGGTTACATTGGTTACATTCTTACAAAAGCTTACGAATCATAACGTAAATTGACTTTGTTTAACGTTGCGCAAAGATGCAAACAATTTTTGTTTTATGTTTAATATATTTTGTACGTTGAAAGCCATATTTATTATGTTAAATAAAACTCTTTGAATTCGTATTGAAGTCTGCGGAGTCGTTTGATTGCACATTCACATCACCTCTAACAACAACAACAACAACATCGTCAGCAGCAGCCATGATCAATCCACTGCTGGATTGATCATGGCTGGGCGTCTCTTTTTCACTCAGTCCCACAACGGTAACGATCCAATCCACGGGTGGTGCAGTCGTCACGCTGTTTCTGCCGCGTGGGCTATCCTCTCAGATGTTCTTCTCTCTCAGCCGCCACTCTCATTAGTCCGACATCAAAAACCGCTTCATCGTCGCTGACCACAACAACCATCGTTCGTCATCCTGGATGCGAGCTGCCCCTTCGGTCTTCGTGGGCCCACTGCTCAACAGGTTTCTGTACCTACGCCAGGGTCCGTGCAAAGTGAATCTATGTCTACTGCACCTGGAACCAACGTGGCCACAGCCCGCTCTGTGGATGTGCCCAGCGCAAGTTGTGATCGGCGGACAGCCACGAGGCTGTCTGTTGTTGGCAGTGAGGAGCAACGGAGAATATGAAGTAATGGGGGGGGGGGGGGGGGGGGGGGGGGTGGTGCTGGGGGGATACGATTGAGTGGGGAGCTCAGAGAGCAACGCTGCAGGACGGCCCGGGGCCAATGCGGCCACCGGGTACATGGGACGGTGAGCAACCAGACAGGTCACAGGGCAGTCCAAGGGCAGCAGTAACGAGTCCCAGGGCAGTGCAAGGGCAGCTCTAACGAGTCCCAGGGCAGTCCACGGGCAGCACTAACGAGTCCCAGGGCAGTCCAAGAGCAGCACTAACGAGTCCCAGGGCACTCCGAGTTCAGCACTAACGAGTCCCAGGGCAGTGCAAGGGCAGCACTAACGAGTCCCAGGGCAGTCCAAGGGCAGCTCTAACGAGTCCCAGGGCAGTCCAAGGGCAGCACTAACGAGTCCCAGGGCAGTCCAAGGGCAGCTCTAACGAGTCCCAGGGCACTCCGAGTTCAGCACTAATGAGTCCCAGGGCAGTCCAAGGGCAGCAGTAACGAGTCCCAGGGCAGTTCAAGGGCAGCACTAACGAGTCCCAGGGCAGTTCAAGGGCAGCTCTAACGAGTCTCAGGGCAGTCCACGGCAGGAATAACGAGTCCCAGGGCAGTCCAAGGGCAGCTCTAACGAGTCCCAGGGCAGTCCAAGGGCAGCACTAACGAGTCCCAGGGCAGTTCAAGGGCAGCACTAACGAGTCATAGGGCAGTCCAAGAGCAGAACTTAGTAAGCCACTAGAGCTATGCACTTTAAAATCTAAATGTTTTTTTATTTAATTTAAAACTGCTTTTTGTGTTTAGTTTACTGTCCTTCTCCCGCACCTCCGATTAGCACTGTTGGCTACGTACGGTGGTGAAATAAGTTCAACATACACACAATTAAAATGTTTAAATTCCCGTGTCATAATGAATGAATAAACATAACCTGATGTTTCCTGACTTTTAAGCCACCCAGTCTATATATATTTAAAAAAAACTAATTTTATGTAATTATTGTCAATTTCATTTCGAAACACGCCAACCCGACAATGAACGCTGCCGCCTGAGTTCGATTCCCATTTACCGTGAACAGCATTGACGAGTGACTCGCACCGACCAGCGTGGTGAAGTATGGCTGTACCAATCGCCGCAACCGACAGACATTGGCCCATATGCCCTGCATCTAGTGGTGGAATAACAAAGTCCTGGACTTATGTGATGGATCGTATTAAGGGCTACCGTATAGGCGGGTTTAAAGACGTACATTCTAAGCCGTTAAAGTAGGAACTTGGGCAGGACACGTGACGGCTAGAAGAGATGACATCAGGCGCTTGGCCAAAAAGATAACGACGGACGGAACGCGTCCCAGAGTTCGTCGAGGCCTGTGGGGAGACGGAGCGATGATGAAGTCAGCTCGCGTGCAGCTGGTGTCCGCCGGGTGGAATATTAACATCGCAGAACAGTGAGAGTTAGCGACGGCTCGGGGGAGACCTTCATCCAGCAGTGGATTGATCATGCCTGATGATCGATGGAGACGATGATAGTGTTTCATCACCACCGTGTGGGGGAAAAGTTACCACAGGGATAACTGGCTTGTGGCGGCCAAGCGTTCATAGCGACGTCGCTTTTTGATCCTTCGATGTCGCCTCTTCCTATCATTGTGAAGCAGAATGCAGCGCTTAATCACCAGCGGCGCGCGCGTGCATCACACGTTCCTTGATCACTCATCGGTGGAATAATGATTTAAATGAGCTCCGGGGGGTGGGAGGGGCAGACCCCCGCCCCGTCTGTTGAAGATTCAGCCACCCACCCCACCCTTCGAAATGTTCTCTCACTCGACACTGACGTCCCCTTCCTTCTTCCACTCAGCTCTGTCAATGATGTTTACCCAAGGACGCTGCACCAGATACTCCTCCCAAGGAGCATCCATAATTGTTCAATTCGCTTTTGCAACTTAATTCGCTGTCATTCTCTTCCCATAACACTAGGGGGTTTCCCCTATTTTCGGGCAACAAAACAGAAACCTTTTTAAAAGAAAGATTCATGTCTGCATTAACCACAATACTTGCAGTCAGAATGCAAACAAAAAACACACTGATAATATATGATGCATTGTCCTTGAAACTGATTGGTCCACACCAGAGACAACTTTCTTTTGAGCCTCGTCTCAATTGGTGGAAGACCAGATGACGCCAAAAGGCGTTCAGCTCAAAGACAATGCACTATCAAAGTAATGAGGGCTCGTTTAAGCATCTACATCATTGGACCTCCTTTGCCAGTACCAAATAAAATACTAGGGGGTTTCCCCTTTTTTCTGGCAACAAAACTGAAACCTTTTTACAAGGATTCATGTCTGCATTAACCACAAACAAAAAACACACTGATAATATATGCATTGTCCTTGAGAGACAGGGAGAGACAGCGAGAGACAGAGAGAGACAGAAAGAGAGACAGTGAGAGACAGTGAGAGACAGAGAGAGACAGTGAGAAACAGCGAGAGACAGGGAAAGACAGCGAGAGACAGCGAGAGACGGGGAGAAACAGCGAGAGATGGGGAGAGACAGCGAGAGACAGGGAGAGACAGCGAGAGACACGGAGAGACAGCGAGAGACGGGGAGAGACAGCGAGAGACGGGGAGAGACAGCGAGAGACGGGGAGAGACAGCGAGAGACGGGGAAAGACAACGAGAGACAGCAAGAGATAGCGAGAGATGGAGAGAGACAGCGAGGGACAGCAAGAGACAGCGAGAGACAGGGAGAGACAACGAGAGGCAGCGAGAGACAGGGAGAGACGGAGAGAGACAGCGAGAGACAGTGAGAGACAGTGCAAGACAGGGAGAGACAGCGAGAGACAGCGAGAGATGGGGAGAGACGGCGAGAGACAGGGAGAGAGAGCAGGAGACAGCGAAGCGTCCTGCAGACATGGAGCTCCCTCGCCGTCAGGAGGCTGAACCAACCGCGATCGGCCGAGGATCTGGTCTTTGAACCGATCCTCAGGAACCCACAGACAAAGCTGCCATCCACCACCACCACCCCAGGCATGGAGAGGCGCCTCGCCAACGCGCAGCTCACCAGGATGGGAGATCTGGTGGAGCCTGAAACACGGGGCCGGTGGCTCGGACCAGCAAACATGGCCGCAAAGACAGGGCTGCAGTCGCTCCGGGTGGCTGCCCGGATCCTGGCCGAAGCCAAGGGGGCCTTCTCAGCGGCAGCGGGGAGAACGCCCCCCATCGGCGTTGGGGATGACGAAGCCCCTCTCGGTCCCCCTCCACCGGAGCTCTCAGTCGTGCCACTGCATCGCCTATGCCGACAAACGAAGGCGGATCACAACCTGTGCCGGCTGGAAGACCTGCCGGAGGTGGCCTTCGCAAATGTAAAGAGGAAGGTGCTCTACTCCTACATGGTCCGGTTCCACCAACAGGACACCCTGAGGAGCCACAAGGACCATGCCTGGAGGAAAGCCCTGGCCTGCATCTCTCCGGAGAGGCCTCGCTGGAGGCAACTCTACTCCAGCCCGACGTACAACCGCATCGGCGACCTCAGCTGGAGCATCGCCCACGGCACCGTCACCACCAACGTCTCCCTGGCACGCTTCACCGACACGTCCCCGGAGTGTCGGTTCTGCGGTAAAGTGGAGACAGTGGCGCACCAATACGTGGAGTGCAAGAGCCTGGACTCGCTGTTCAAGGTCCTG